CTGCTACATTGCCCTGGGCAAAGTGTGCATTATTTTCTTTTCCCACAGTAAACCAGGGACCATGTGGATAGTACAGGAGGTAAAGTTTATGTTGTGTCAACTTGTTGGGTATATGGTACAAAAGCTTATTCAATAGGGGGTCAAGGCCCTTGAAAATTGGAAGCAGAGTTAAGGAAAGCCATTTCGCAAAGGAGGTGGGGAAAGATTTGGACCTTTTAATGTCTGGTAGGGCAAGAAGACATCCAGCTCTTTCCCCCTTGTTTGAGAGGGAAGACTGGAGGATCTCAGCAATGGTGACGGATTTGCTGTCATCAGTCTGAAAGGTTGGGGGGTAACCCTTCTCTACGTGGAACAGGTAATGGAGGGAAGGACAGCCTGTATTCATGGAGGGGTTTTTAAATAGTTCTCAGTTGAGTTAAAGTTATTTGGTTCAACTTGCATGCCTTGTTTTATCTTTCTTCATGGGTGTCTGAATTGACCACAGATCAATGGGAAAGTTCAGTTTTTGTATTACTCATATGATTAAAAAAAAATACTTGTATGATAAAAACACAGAAAAGTTAGGTGTTCAGCTTCCAAGTTTCATATTGCACATCACTTTGCAAATGTGATATACCTGTTGTGAGTGTAGGAGAACAGCTTCTTCAGAATTGATCCTAGTTTAATTAGATAAACCTTCCTTTACTAGTCAAGGGGACTTTTGTTTTTACTTTAAGGGTTTATGTGATGTAAGGACAGACAGTACAACACATTACATTGTATATTGTAATCTGTCTGAATTGGACTGTGAAAGATAACATATTTTAACTTACAATGCACATGATGATGCGTATGTAATAGAGGATAGAGACATACAAATAGTTTTCAAGGATAAAGTGGGGAGAAGCATGTCCAGTTTCAGGAAGATTAGTAGAATAAAATAAAACCTGCTTGTGGCCATTTCCATATAGAGTAGTTCTTTTAGTGTGTATGGGCTCTGTTTTAAAGTTGCTACTTGTGGGCACTAACTGAAACATCCCATTATTTTATGTTCTAGCCGCGTCCTCTGGATAGTAGGTGGGGTGTGTGTGTGTGTGTGTGCACACGTGCAAATGATGGATTGTGATGGGGAGAAGTCAGTTGGTTTAATTCCCCTGCAGGAAGACATGTTCTAGCTCTAGCATGTCCACTTACTGTGGTTTTTCAAATCGAATTTTATTATAATAGTTATAGTTCCATAAACTTTAGAAATAAAACTGCCAAGACATGGGAAAGTGGTAAACCTTACCAGGCTTAGCCTTAAGTGATTTTAATATAGAAACATTGAAGAAAAATGTTAGCTTGGGTGGTGGGAGAGAAAGCAGTAGAAAGAGAAGAATAGATGAGTTGCATTCACCATGCCTTCTATAGTAAAATGTACAAAATGTATTTTATTATTGTGCTCTACCACTTAACATTCCTCTGCTTAGCATTTGACATTTAAAACCAAAAGCAACTGAAGGTGCATTTCAAGCAAAACCAAGGGAAGGAACACTGGTAATTTCAGTGGTGATATTTGTGTATGTATGATGTAGCAATTGAAATTTACACTTGTTAGAGTAAGTGCTATCATGTTTTATTTAGCTTTAGAAAAATATCGAGAAGGAACTAGGAACTGTTAGTCTTAGAGACCAATAAAAGATTTTGGGATGAATATCTCATGGGTCCCCAGGGACAGAAATAAATGCTGTGTGATGCAGTATACTCTGTTTTTCAGTAGTTTACATCATTAAGTTTTTGTCCTGGCAGGTCATGAGAAAATAAATCATGAATTCAAATAATTCTGATTAACATCTTGACTTTTGCATGCTGGTCAAGTCTGACTTGATTTCAGTGGCTGTCACCTTGTGAAGTGTCCCTCACTGAGCATCATAGAAGTAATGTCAAATGCTATGACTGGCTGGTCAGTTCCCATGACTTTTTTTCCCCAGACGAGGAAGACATTTTGATTGTTTGCTTTTAGTAGTGCTGCAAAGGCCCAATGATTAGATGTCTGGCTGTGGAGATACCACCTTAGGCCCCAATTTGTCAAAGAACTTAAGCACGCAGTAATGAAACTCAGTTGCAATAATTGCCAGAAGTGTGTGGTTTTGGCTCTGATGATTTATGGGGGGACAAAGGTCAACTGACCTCATGGCTTGGGTTAGAAGTGTAAGCCTGCAAGACAGGTGGCCATTCAAGCTTGGATTTGTGGAGGTCAATTTAGATACTAAAATAAGCTGCATTGTCTCTCATCAGGGCACAGGGATTACCTGAGGACAGAAAGTAATCTTTTTATTTTTTTATTTTTTTACCTTTTGTTATCAAGTTGTTTACGTTTTTCCATGCCCTAAACCCTGTGATGCTTCCTATAAAGTACCAATCAGGCAACCATTGTCTCCAGAACCAGTCATTTTAATGGAAGTATACCTGTAGCCAAATAGTCATTTGATTTAGCAAAACATCTGTGCTTTGTGACCCAAGACTTCTGACCCATCTTGCTAGAAAAAAATAGGCATGGTTTTATATTTAATGAATTTGTCAGGGAAAAAATACCTTGTGACCAGGAAATCATCAGGAAATGTAATAAATGTTTTTGTTATTTGACAGTTTTACTCTTAATCTCAAGGCACTGGGGGACCTGGTTCTTGAATAGTTTGGGTATAGACAAATGTGAAAACATTCATAAGCAGAATAGGCTGTGCAGTTAAGTAATGATTTCCAGCTAATCCAAGTCATTACATTTTTTCCCTCGATAGATGTCACCCTACTCTGCTGTAAATATGTGAATGGAAATAGTAGCTAATTACATGCACATGTAACGTATGTTATTGACACCAAATATTACAATCACATTAACATGTTCAGTTAGTCTGTGAAATAAATAACAAAATATGAATTGATGTTTATTTCATACTATGTGCTATTACATTGGAAAGCAAGAATAGGGTTTATTATGGTAATTTTAAACTTTCAAGCTGGAATGGAAATTAAAAAGAATGTGAAGATATAAACCAATATTCTTTATGATTCCTGTTGATATGTTGCAAATAGACTTAATAAAGTTTAGAGTTGTTCGTTGAAAGATTTAATTTTTTCCAAGCACCGTATTTCATAAACAGTATTTGCCAAGTATTGAATTTACAGAATGCATATTTCTTTGAGTTCTAAACTGATTTAATTGTAATGATATATTTTTTAAAAAGTAGTGGTCTTGTTGCGCAGCATTGTCTATAAAGAACAAATGTGAAAAATGCATCTTAAACTCCTGTTTTTCTGTTGAATTCTTTGTGTGTCTTGGCAATATTAAAAGAAAAAGGTCCCTTCTGAATATGTTTCTTTATTGTATCTGTTTTTTCTCATTTGCAAGTGAACATTAAATAAATATTTGCATTTCCTACCATTAGAATAATTGTAAATGCTATAATTATATATACAGGTGTTGTCAGCCTCTAGTAATTTAAAATATTAGTCACTAAAATGTTCTTAAAAGTACAAGGGTCAGTCAGAAAGTAATGCCTCCTATTTTTTCTCAGTTAAATATTTCAGAAAAATATTAAAATTGCATGGAAAAATTGCACATTATCACTGAACATGCAGCTATTTTTCAACGTAGTCATCTTTTTCCATGGCCTTTTTCCACTGAACAAGCTGGTGCATGTGGGCAAGTACTGTCACGCAGAAGCAGCGGGTCAGACAAGTCTTTGTTGGAGTGGGCTCTTTGCACTGAGTTTCATTTTTTTCAGGGTCTTGAAATAGACCTCTGAGTTTAGGTAAGATCTCTAGAACAACCACTCCATTTCATTGCTTGCTTAGGAGGAAAAAAAATTAAAAGGCATTCCCATATTTACTCACATGCCCCATACCTTTTTCTCTAAAATCAGCTCTCCAAAACTGGGTTGCATGTCTTCAGCAGGGAAGCTGATTTTTCTTTACTGGAATAGAAGCATGGTGATGGTTTGCTGTAATGGCTTCCAAAATGGCTCCCCCTTCTCTCTGACCCAGCAGGTAGAAGGGGCAGAGTCCAGTGTTGACCTTCTCACAACCACTAAGGAATCTGCAGTAGCTACTAGCTAAACACAAGCTCGCATTTGAAGGAGCAATTACTCTGAACTAGCTTAAGTGAACTGCTGTATGCAGCCTGTAGAATCTTGATGAGGCCTGTGGTTCATTTTTTGTATGACAAAAACGGTGTCCATATCTTTAACTTTGTGCACTTTGGTGTTTTTGTCAATTCGGGAGCTCTTGGCTGTCGGAGACATTACTAGGGATCACTGTGTGGAAGTGACTCTCATCAATCCCCAGGCTTGTGGTGTAGAAACAAAACTTTATTAACAGGAGCTAATATAAAGAACTGTTCACAGTAAAGAAGTAACAGGCTTGCTGTTGCCCTTGGAAGGGTCTGGGACCTAGACCTGTTGCTGTTCTGCCACACCAGGAAGTTCCTACTATGTTACACAGACTGTACCCTGGAATGCCACATGTCGTGAACACTGTAAAATCTTTCTTTTTCTTCATTCTGCTTTCCAAAAACAAGGTGTGTATTTTATTTGCAGGGATATGCAAAAAAAAAAATCCAAAAAATCCAGTGCTTTCTGACTCATCCTCAAAGTTGGGATAAATGCTCTTCTTCACCAGCGGAAAGAGGCCATTTATAGAAGGCCTTTGGCCATCGATAGTGACAATGTACACATTTTCTGTGCAAGATTAATATTTTTTCAATAATATTTTGCTGATAAAAACCATAGAAGACATTACTTTCTGATTGGCCCTCATATATTATATTGCACTGATTAATCTTCAAAACTCAAAACTAAACTTGAGGCATTTTCTTTTTAAAAACCTAAAGCAGCAGTCCCTGCCTTTCCTCTTTGTTTTACACCATACTTTTCAGTGTTTTAATCTTATTCATTTTCTTTTCCTTTAGAAAGTTTGGCTGCACAAATTGTTGTTTAATAAGTGTAGCTTTATGCATTTCAACCTTTTCTTTACATTAATTTTAGGTATGCTATTCCTCCAGAACATGGAAAACGGCTTGAACGATTAGCTCAAGGTAATATTTTCAGCATTTTTCATTAAAGACATTCATCTTAAAGGTTTTTGATTTTTCAGGGACATCTCTGATTTCATGTAAAAAATAACCTATTACTCTCCTGATTTATTGTGGTTTCATGTTTCCTAAAATGGTGGCGTTTATATTTTTTTTGTCTGAAATGTGGTAGCTGAATACCATTTAAAATATTGCTTACGGGGAAATAAAACAATTTGATCTTGCTTCTTAATGCTTAATTTTTCACTCCTAAAATAGGTGCCATATTTTTATAAGGTGTAAATAATGGATACCATAAAATAGATAAATTTCTTAGACTAGTAGCAGATGATCTGTTGTTTGTTATGAGCTATATTAACTCTGAAATAACTCAAGTTAATTTTTGTTTTAATTAGGTACTGTAGGTAAGGTTATTTCTTTATGGCCATGTCCAAATATATAAATACACAAGTTCATTTTTTATTTTACCCAAGTGAACCTAAGGTCTATGTGTTCATGGAGTGTTTGTACACATAATGCAAACACAAATTTGTGCCCTGAAAATTTTGGGTTAGTTGCTTTTTTCGGAGTTGTTTTTTCTTTCTTTAATCTGGTCTCAGGAGAGGAGTACTACATGCTGTACTTGAGCTGAGTCACTGAGACAGAAAACCAAAGTGAATATCCAATGCTTGTGATCACTAAACTCTGGGGCCCTGGCTAAATTCCCACTTAGCTAACTATATTTTACATATTTGAACTTCCTGTGTAGTTTCAGTTGAGGAAGTTCTTACCCATACTGTCTCTTCCAAATCCTGTTATGTTTTATTGCTGGAGGAGGATGTCTGATTTATATACCATCATATAGCTCATAGGCCAGGGTACAGACATTTGAAAACCTGAGGTGGAATCAATCTAAGTTATGCAGTTTTCTGTAAGTGGTGTACTTTAGATCGGTAGTGAACAGAGTGCATGTTTGCCAGGGGGGGACAAACCTTAAACCAGGTCCCACCATTTTTAAACCTGCCTATAGGTGGGAAACTTCTGTTTTGTTATGAGTATAGACCGGTTTTGTGTGCCAAACTTCTGTTCTGTTACAAGTATAGAACAATTTCCAATCACTTATTCCGTAAAAGTGTAATATATGTACCTAGCTATAGAGTTCATTAGTAAATGGGTTTTCAGTCTGGCTTTGATATAGAGAAGGAGGCCAGCTGATTTTGATGGAAGATCACGTGGCCAGCCACCATATTCATGGGCTGGTCATGGCAGTCCTCCCCTTCATGCCTCTTGCTGAGGGGCCCTGGTGGCCTTGCCCCTCACTGCTCATTGGCCATGAGGGCTGTCTGTCATATGGTCCCACTGCCAATTGGTGGGGGGCTGCCTTCAAGTGGGTAGCCCCCCTGTTGCCTGCCACCCTTCGGCAGGCTGTGCAGCTGAGCCACAGGACTGTGAGGACTGCTGGCTCCCTCTGGGGAGCTAACATGTCATTTTCTGTAAGTTTTATTTCTTTCTTTTCTATAATTTTGGTAGGTCTATATCTTCATTAATAACTTGGAAGAGAAAGTTGACTCTATGCTGAGTATATATACAGATGATCTCAGGCTGAGTGGTGTGCCGGTTGCTTTGGAGGATGGGACTAGAATTCAAAATGACCTTGATAAATTGTAGAAATGGTCTGAAATGAAAAACCTGAAATTTGAGGAGGACAAATGCAAAATACTGTATTCAGGGCAGAACAATTAAATGTACAACTACAAACTGGGGAAATGACTGGCTTTGTTGTTATACTACAGAAAGAGGATCTGGGGTTTATAATGAAGTACAAAGTGAATATGAGTCAACAGCATGCGTTCACTGCAAAAAGGGCAATAACATACTAGGTTGTATCAACAGGAGTGTCCTCTTCATGTCAAGGGAACTGATTCTTCCATTCTGTTCAGCAATAGTGAAGTCAAGGAGAATAGGACTGGGACAATACAGGCTGGATGACTGCACAGTCAATACACAATACAGACTGGATGACTACACAGTCCGGTGGGTGGCGAATTGGCTAGAGGGTCGCACCCAGAGAGTCATGGTGGATGGTGGGTCGGTTTTGACCTGGAAGGGTGTGGGCAGTGGGGTCCCGCAGGGCTCTGTCCTTGGACCGATACTCTTTAATGTCTTCATCAGCGACTTGGTCGAGGGAGTGAAGTGTACTCTGTCCAAGTTTGCGGATGACACAAAGCTATGGGGAGAAGTGGATGTGCCGGAGAGCAGGGAACAGCTGCAAGCAGACCTGGACAGGTTGGACAAGTGGGCAGAAAACAACAGAATGCAGTTCAACAAGGAGAAATGCAAAGTGCTGCACCTAGGGAGGAAAAATGTCCAGCATACCTACTGCCTAGAAAATGACCTGCTGGGTGGCACGGAAGCGGAAAGGGATCTTGGAGTCCTAGTGGACTCCAAGATGAACATGAGTTGGCAGTGTGACGAAGCCATCAGAAAAGCTAATGGCACTTTATCGTGCATCAGCAGATGCATGACGAATGGATCCAAAGAGATGATACTTCCCCTCTGTCGGGCGCTGGTCAGACTGCAGTTGGAGTATTGCGTGCAATTCTGGGCACTGCACTTCAAGAGGGATGTGGATAACCTGGAGAGGGTCCAGAGAAGGGCCACTCATATGGTTAAGGGCTTGCAGGCCAAGCCCTACGAGGAGAGACTAGAGAACCTGGACCTTTTCAGCCTCTGCAAGAGAAGGTTGAGAGGCGACCTTGTGGCTGCCTATAAGTTCATCATGGGGGCACAGAAGGGAATTGGTGAGGTTTTATTCACCAAGGCGCCCCCGGGGGTTACAAGAAATAATGGCCACAAGCTAGCAGAGAGCAGATTTAGACTGGACATTAGGAAGAACTTCTTCGCAGTTAGAGTGGCCAAGGTCTGGAATGGGCTCCCAAGGGAGGTGGTGCTCTCCCCTACCCTGGGAGTCTTCAAGAGGAGGTTAGATAGGCATCTAGCTGGGGTCATCTCTCTTTCCTGCCTATGCAGGGGGTTGGACTCGATGATCTATTGAGGTCCCTTCTGACCATAGCATCTATGAATATGCCAGTAAGAAAACAAAAGTCTGCGTCAAGGACACAGTGGAGGTGATGGGATCAGACTTTCAGGACTTGAGTAGAAGAGACAGTATACACTAGAAGTCATTCTTCAGAGCCTGTAATGGATCTCGGGGGGGGGGGTTGGGTTTGAAAAGTCTCTTGTTCCTTACACTGTAGCTCCACATAAAGGCTAGTACTACCTATTACTGCTCTTGCTTACTTTGTTAGCTCAAGTTGCAAAGGCTTGTGTGGTGAATATAAATGCTCCAACTCTGTTACAGTGTCAGTATGATGTTGCATGTACATTTTTCAGTTTACTTTAAAAAATCTGGAGAATTAGATATAAAAAGAACCCTTTAATAGAACAGTAAGTTGCAAAGTTGCACTCGAGCTAGGACACGTCCAAGTGAAAGGTGTTTATGCAACCTTACTTCATCCCCTTTTATTTATTTGCCTTCTGACTGCTAGTTCTTTGTGTGTTTGTTTGTTTGTTTTTCTTTTCCCCATGGGGCCAGGGGACCTGGTCTGGGGATATATCAGGGTTGTGTAGTTAAGAATAGTGTTGTCTTTAGGATCTGTTCCTCAGTTGTTGCAGAAACTGAAGGATATATAGTATATGAGGCTACAGATTGGAGGTGAAGAAAAGAGAGTCTTTTGGTTAAGATGTTTGAATATTTTCAGGAGAATTTAATTCTTTGTATACCTCTACTGTCAGGTTTAGATATGAGCATTTAAAAAGTAATAATTTGTGGATTTTTGTTTTACTTTAATCTTTCAGTTTTTACCCGATAATTTGTTTTGTTTTTCTTGGAGCCTGATTCAAAGCTTACCAAAAATGCTAGAGTGGCTACAATTGACTTTGCCAGTTTTTGGATCAAGTCCAAGGAGATGCTAGTCACTTAGATTGCAGAAGAAACTTACTTTACCTCAAAATAATTTAACTTAGCATAGGGGTGTCCAATGTATCCAGCCCATATGGCATAGGGCTGGTCCACGGGCTGCACCAGACTTACAGACTGGTCTTGCATTGTGGATCCAGAGCTGCTGTTGCCTCGGGGCTGCGTAGCACAGCCCTAGAGCCACTGCTGCTTGCAACATGGCCCTGGAGTAGCACATAGCTGCCCTGGGGCTGTGCTGCTCATGGCAGCTGTCCCACCACTTTGGAACGTGAACTAGAATGGGCACCCTGTGCAGCATGTGAGCACATCTGGTGAGTCCTGCATGCTGTCTGTGGGTCACTCTGAGACTGCAGGTCAGATGTTTGACACCCCTGCTTTAGCAGGTATTTGAAGGTAACTGTCCTACTACATTTTTCAGTTACTTCAGTTAGTTCAATTCTTCATTCAGTTTAAAAATGGATGCCAAGAATTACTTTGTTTTGAAAACATATGGAGGATTTCAGAGACATGTTAGTTTTGCATTTGTACACATGTTATGAGAGTTTTGGCATACTAAGAAATATAAAACATACCACTACGTAAAAAGCTGGTATGCTTAGTAGTCCAGTAAATTATATTAATGATATTTGTAATCTTGAACTTTTGTCAGGGGCAAAGTATTTTCATAAATAATAAGATGGAAAATTTCCCAATTCTGGCTATTCAGTTAGAGTAGAATTTGGAAGGTGATTATCTGTATATTTAAGAGTTATCATAATGATTTTTTGTACTCCAATGGACTATACATGCCCATATTTTCTTTAATTATTTCCCGTAATTTCTAATTATTTCCATGCTAGTGGAATGGAGGCTTGTGTGATCTTTCTGCTATAGTTTCTGCCGGTAAAAACAGTCAACTTTTTCAGTAAGCTGTCTTAAAATGATGAAAATGTCATGTCAGCCACATGGCTGCAATTTACCTAATCAGTAAAGGTTAATAACCTTGCAGGATGAATGAGGACTACAGACTTAATTACATGTTTATTCAAAACTGGTTGTACAGATT